GCTAAAGGATGTACAAACAGAAGAGGTGGATGTGAATGCCAGATGTGGGGTATGTGGAGGAGTGGGGCCTGGGGAAGAACATTTGAAGGAGGGATACGAAGACAGCATTGTTGAGACAGGGAGGTAGTGTTGCTATATTTTGATCAACTAGACCGGGGAGAAATGTTCACATACTGAAATGATCATCTTGTAAACTAAATAATGTAACTGAATGTATTTTTAAAAATGTAAATAAGAATTTAAAAAATTAAAAAAATAAAAAATAAAAATAATCTGGAAAAAATTATGAAAAGCTATTTGATGATGATGATGTGGATAGTAATGGCTTTGTCTTGACTGATATGCATGGTATTCCTTCTGGAAAAAGAAATGTAATACACTGTAAAGATATATGTGATTCAATGTAATATACACAAGGTTATGATAATATAAAAAAAAGAAAAGAAATGAAAAAATAAATAAATCCCTGCATTCTCTTCAGTAATTGGTTTAAACTTTGAAATTTTTATAAATCATTAGTGACATGTAATTTAGCAAAAAAAAAAAAATTCCTTGTTTTATTCTTTAGGCTCTTAAGTAATTATTCTCACTGGACAGAAAAAAAGTATTTTTTTAATAGATAAAAATTATAACTGCTTATAGAACAAAATGTTCTCCAGTATTATAGTTTTCTAACGAAACAGTACTAACTTCAGATAATACAGTTTCAGAGCATAAAACTTCATAAAGACCCCTTTATTGATAACAAAGAGAATCTCTTAACTCTCCTTCAGGAATAGTGTAGGTGGAATGTATGCCCACAAAAGAAGAACAGAACAAGGCAGGAGAAGCTTTGTTCTCTCTAATTCTCTTTCAAAGTATTTCATTACCTCACTATCCCACTACCAAACTGAAATACTACCCTCAACAAAGTGCGAAACTGAACGTAAGCAGGTAGCTCCACCTAGAATTTGAGAGTTAAAACCACATATACATGTAGCACTGGGAAAACACTTCATGTTATCACAGCTCATAAGCTATGTAAATATTCATCTTCACATTTGCCTGTTACTTATTATGATTTTCCATGTAGGCCATTGGCCAGCATTGGCCTCAGGTCCCTTACAGAACATTGAATGTGTCAGGCAGGAAAGCCACTGCACAACTGCAGAAAGGGTCCTCCTACCACCTGTGATGTGAATGGCACCTACTAGTGCCTCACCATTCAGGGGCTGAGTCACAATATCCTTAAAGTTCCCCAAAACAAAGCAACAACAAAAAAGATCTAGAAAACAGTTCCTTAATCAAAAGAAAGGCTTTTGCTTATTTTATAGTAATTTGTCATAAATATACAAGCCAGTCTTTGATTCACATACCTCATCCTTCAGCTGATTTCTACTAGTTTCGTGTTGCTGATATTCTGTTCTACATTTTAAAACTTTACGATCAGCAGCAGCAATTCTTCTCTCATACTCTGCATTATTCCCAATTTCGTTTTCCAAAAACTTGATTTTCTCCTTCACCAAATTTTCTTTTTCTCTGGTTTCCTGCTTTATCCTTGCTAATGTCTGGAATCAAAAGAAATGTGTTACATTAAATAAATATTTAATATGATAAAATTAAAATTAAACAGAATTTCACTTTTTTGTCATTATATTCAGTATTTATTTTGCCAACACCTAAGATTTTTCAAGAAGACTTTTTAAATGAATAGCAACAAAATAGTAATATCTTAGATGCCAATATCTATAAACTCATATTGTCTCCATATTTTCCTTCATTTATCTTAACATTTGCTAAAAGTGAGAAAAAGACACATTTTTAAACATGAAAGGTAACACCTAAGAAAGATAGGTATTTAGTATTTCTCATATAGAAAGTTGGAATTCAATGAAATTTTCTAAATATTTCACAAACCAGATTTTTATTTTTTATTTCATTTTTTTCTTTTATTATTTATTTATTTACATTTATGCACTGTACATCATTACAGCATACTTCAATCACTTTATTTAGCTTATAAAATTAATATTTCAACAGGTGAACATTTCTCCCTAGTCCAGCTGATAAAACTATGATATATCTTCAACAGATAATACCACATTTCTTTGTCCCATTAATGCATTGCCTCTCTAATTTTCTTCTAAATGTCCTTCCTCAGAACCTACTATTTCACACACACTATATCTGGTATTTACATCTATATACTGTGTTTCTATACCCTTTAGTCAATCAGTTTCAGTCATAGAGTGCAGACACTTGGTCTCTGTTTCAAAGTCATGCTTGTTTTACTCAGCAGTAAATCTTACATATTCATCCACTTCCTGTCAAAAGCCATGGTTTTGTTGTTTTTTATGGCCGAACGGTATTCCATAGAGTATATGTGCCACAGTTTTTCAATCCATTCATCTATTCCTGGGCATGTGGGTTGATTCCATGTCTTACCAGTTGTAAATACTGCCACAATAAACAGCAATGTACAAGCACTTTTCTGATGAAGAATTCTTCTGTCCTTTGGGTAGATACCAAGGAGTGGGATTCCTGGATCAAATGGTAGTTCTATCTGTAGATATTTGAGGAATCTCCAAATTGTTTTCCACAGTGGCTGGACCAATTTACATTCCCACCAGCAGTGTAAGAGAGTTCCCCTTCACTACACCCCTGCCAGCACTTAACGTTTTTTTTTTTTTAATCTTAGTCATTCTGCCTGGGGTTAGGTGGTATCTTATTGTTGTTTTGATCTGCATTTCCCTTACAATGAAGAAGGTTGAGCATTTTTCATATGCCTTTTGGCTGTTCTTATGTCATCTTTAGAGAGTGGTTTTTTCAACTCCTCCCATCATTAATACGATAAACATTTTTCAGAACAGCTGCTTGAGTTCCTTGTGAATTTTGCTTCTAAGTCCCTTATCTGACTCATAGTTTAAAAAAATATTTTCCCATTCTGAGGGTTGTTGATTCACACTAATTACTGTCTTATGCCATGCACAAACTTCTTAGTCTGATGTAATCCCATTTGTCAATTTTGGGGATGCTTTTTTTTTTTTTTTGAGAGGTTTTTGCTATAGGGTGCGTGCGCTCGCCAGACAGACAGACAAAGACAGAGAGAAAGTGAGAAATCAGCCCCCCAGGGGGATGGCCCCTCCACAATCCCTTCTCCAATCTCCTGGGGTTTTGGGCGCACACATGCCCAGTGTGATTTTCAGGTCGCCAAATCCGGACTCGAATCGCAAACACATGAGAGGCGCCCTAACCACATCACTTGCTGGCCCCACCCGTGCGATTTCTACACATAGATTCTACCGGGATTATTGACTGCTTTGGTGGGGGTAGGGTCTTATTTAAGAAGTCTCTCCCTATTTCAATGTCTCCCAGTTTCCCCAGTGTTCTCCAGGAACAGTTTTATACTTTGAGGTCTTAGATTTGGATCTTTGATCCACCTTGACTTGATTTTTGTCTAATGTGAGAGGCAGGAATTCAGACTCATCTTTCTGCAAGTGGAAATCCAGCTTTTCCAGCACCATTTGTTGAAGGGATTTTCCGTTTCCCACTGGGTTGACAGGTAGCCCTTGTCAAAAATCAGTTGACTGTATGTTTGGGAATTTATTTCTGGGGACTCTATTCTGTTCCATTGGTCCACCTGTCTATTTCTGTGCCAGTACCGTGTTTTTTTGTTTTGTTTTGTTTTGTTTTGAGAGGTTTTTGCTATAGGGCGCGTGCGCTCACCAGACAGACAGAGACAGAGAGACAGAAAGCAAGAAATCACCCCTCACGGGGGATGGCCACGCCGCAATCCCTTCTCCTCCATTCTCCTCTCGGGATCTTGGGCACGCACACACGCGCCCGGAGTGAGTTTTAAGCCACCGGGTCCGGGATGCAAACCGCGGTTGACTACATGGGAGTCCAGCGACATAGCCATTACGCTAACTGCTGGTCCCAGTACCATGCTGTTTTGAATTACCACAGCTTTGTAGTATATTTCTGGGTCAGGGAGTGAGATGCCGCCCACTCCACTCTTCTTTTGTAGAATTGTTTTGGCAATACCGGGTCTTTTATGATTTCAGACAAATTTTATGATTGTCTTTTCTAGATCTGTGAAGAATGTGTCTGGTACTTTGATTGTCATTGCATTAAATATGTAGATTAATTTGGGTAAACTTGCCATTTTGATTATATTAATTCTTCCAATCCAGGAACATGGGATGTCCTTCCACTTTTTTGTATCATTTTCAATTTCTTTTTTTTTTTTTTACTTTTTTTTAATATACATTCATTCACATTATTTAGCTTACAAAGTGGACATTTCAATATGTGAACATTTCTCTCCAGTCCAGTTAATCAAAATATCTTCAACCTATAACACCACACCTCTCCATCCTGTCAATGTTCTGCCTCCGTATCCCTCCTCCAAATGTCCTTCCTTAGGCCCCACTTCTACATGCACACCACATCTGGCATTAACTCCCTGTGGAAAAGGAGATACTACTTTTCAGACACCTCAGTAGTGTACCCATCTTGAGATCACATTGGTAAAAACAACAGAAAAGAGAGTTTGGCAAACATCAATTCGCAGAAAAAAGGGAAACACACTTACTCCTAGTCGGAAAAATGTTCCTGTAAGAGGTATTCAAAAGTGAATACATCATCCAATGGCTAGAAGTAGAAGAAGAACCTCAGGTCTGAATAAACAAGGAAATATGTCTCCACCAAAGGATTATGGTAACTCCCCTCCAATCTCTCGTAAATACGGAGGATGTTACCAAAATGTGAGACAAATAATTTTGAACATTCATGGTTACAAAATTCTATGAGTTGGAACAGAAAAGAGACAATGAACTACAGGAGATTAGGAAGTCCTTCCAAGACATGAAAGAAGAAATGGACACTCTGAGAAAGAATCAGGTGGAACTATTAGAGATAAAGTCTGTAATACAGGAAATCAATTTCTTTTTTTTAGCTTCTCATAGTTCTCCTTGTGAAGGTACTTAACTTCTTTAGTTAGATTTATTCCTAAGTATACTTTTAGTGGTTATAGTAAATGGAATAACTTTTTTCAGTTCTATCTCCGTCTGCCTGTTGTTCGTATATAGAAATGCTATAGATTTCTGTATATTGATTTTTTTATCCTGAAATTTTACTGTATTCGTATATTACTTCCAGAAATTTCTTCATGGAAATCATACAATCATGTCATCTGAGAATAGGGAGAGTTTTACTTCTTCTTTTCCTATTGGAATCCCTTTTATTTTTTTCCTTTCTGATTGTGTTGGCAAGGACTTCCAGTACTATATTGAAAAGGAGTGGAGAAAGTGGGCATCCTCGTCTTGTACCTGTTTTTAGTGGGAAAGCTTTCAGCTTTTCTTTATTTGGGATGATGTTTACTACAAATTTTTCAAAGATAGCTTTTATTGTGTTGAGAAATGACCCTTCAATGCTGATATTGCTGAGAGTCTTGATCACAAAGGGATGTCGTATCTTATCAAATGCTTTTTATGCATCAATTGATATGACCATATGTTTTTTTTCATATGGTTTTTATCTTTCTTCCTGTTAATATGGTGTATTACATTTATGGTTTTGCATACATTGAAATAATCTTGCATTTCTGGAATAAAGCCTACCTGATCATGACGTATATTTTTTTTTATAAGTTGATGGATACGATTTGCTAGTATCTTGTTGAGAATCTTTGTGTCTATATTCATCAGAGATATTGGTCTATAGTTTTCATCCCTGGTCCAGTCCTTATCTGTTTTTAGGATAAGGGAGACAGAGGCTTCATAGATTAATTAGGGAGAGATTCACCCTTTTAGATCTTTAGAAATATCTTGACTGGAATAGGGGTTAACTCTTCTTTGCAAGTTTTATTGAACTCGGAGCTGAAGCCATCAGTGCCAGGGCTTTTCTTTGTTGGAAGGTTATTTATTACTGATTCAATCTCCTGGCTTCTTATGGGCTTATTCAGACTTCCTATATCCTCCTGGCCCAATCTTGGTAGATTACGTGTGCCCCGCAATTTGTCCATCTCATCCAGATTGTCTTGTTTCTTGGCATATAGTTATTCATAGGATCCTCTAATGATGTTCTGTATTTCTATGTCTGTTGTTATATTGCCTGCTTCATTGCAGATTTGAATCACCTCTTTCCTTTCTCTCTTCTTCTCAATAAGTCTCACTAGTGGTGTATCACTTTTATTGATCTTTTCAAAGAACCAGCTTTTACTTTCATTTATTTTCTGTATAGTTCATTTATTTTCTATTTCATTTATTTCTGCTTGTAACTTTATTACTTCCTTTCTCCTGGGGTTTTATGGATTTTTTTGCTGTTGCTTTTCCTATTCTCTAAGGCATGATGTTAGGTGATACATTTACTTTCTTTCCATCTTCCTCTTCTGTGCACTAATTCCTATGAATTTCCCTCTTATGACTGCTTTTGCAATGTCCAAAAGATTATGGAAACTCGTGTCATTGTCATTGGCTTCCATGAATCTTTTTTGATTTCAGTATTTATTTCTGCAGTAGTTGTGGAGTTATTCAGGAGTAGGTTATTTAGTTTCCATGTATTTGAG